AATCTCAGTTTAATAGAATTCCAGACCTGAGTAAGAATGAAGAGAATAAACAACAGCGCCAGAACATAGCAGTTTGCGCCTGCGTTGAACAGTCTTATGTAAAACCGACAGGGAATGCTACCGCGTAGCCGGTCCTCAGGCTCAACATCCACCTCTTGTGCTATCTGGGACTGAAAAAAACAGAAACAAAACAAAACAAAAATAAAATAAGACGTATGTTATTTAAAAAAAGGAATAAGAGATGAGTAATTTTCTCAATTGATTTATTTCCGTTATAATGCTTCTATCATGGACAATTCTTGCTAATATTTTTCAGGATGCAAACAAGCAAAACAGACGAGCCCGTCGCGTCCGTGTCCATTTTTCCCGCGCTTCGATTAAGCGTCACGTGGTTGGTTGACCACATAAAAACACTTGTAAATTTGGTCCGGTTCATAAAGAAAAAAAGACATCTAATCTCGAATCTAATTTTTCCATGCCCTTCTCACTTCGGTACAGTAATGATTACTGAGGGAAAATTTCAAGTTTTCTTGTTAAAAACGTTCTAGGGTTTTTTTACCGTTTTTATTCTTTTTGAAAAAACATGTGCAAATGAGTTTATACAGACATAAATCTAAATGTAAACCAAATAAAATCCCATGAAATATMATTACCTCATTAGCGGGAATGTCCAGATCAAGCTGTATGTCAGTCGATGAAGAGAAACTTCTTCGACACAATGCTTTTATAGAACTCGATCTCTTTGGGCTTTTGTCTGGTACTAGCAGCATGGACGATTCACWCGATTCTTCTTCTTCTAATGCACTATCAACTGAGCTATCTTCGGCGTCTTGGGTAGGCTTGGTCTTGATTAGAGATATCAAGTCAATACCAGATGAAGCTAGCTCGCTATGAGTACCTATTCCAAGTATTCTACCCTTCAGAAAAAAAAATGATGTTATGTTAACAAATGATTAAACAACAATCAAGACTTAAGACAACAAACAACCAAACAAGTGTGAGACAACTAAAACAACTACGGAAAGAATTAAGACCCGAAACATCTCCTACTGCTGAGAATGTTAGACACAACATACCTCTTTCAGGCATATAATCTGAGTAGCGTTGTTTAGAAATTGCAATTGATGTGTGACTAAGATTGTTGGGCATTCTTTGAGTAAACCCTGGATGCATCTAGAAAATACAAAAGGAAATATTTTCGATGAGTGATTTTTAAGATCACTCCCTTAGAGGTGTGCATTGTGTACTAACTATGTACTCACTCATCGAAAATATGTCTTCCGACACGAGCGTCCACGGCAGTCAGTGGGTCATCAAGCAGATAGATATCAGCATTATAGTATATTGCCCTGGATAATATATTTGGTGAGAACAGACAAAAACAAACTGGTCACATTAAAAACATAAACAAATAAAAAAATACCATTATATTGATCATGTAAGAAATTAAATGAATTCAAAGTTTACCTGGCTAAGTTGATTCTGGCTTTCTGTCCGCCACTAAGCGATAAGCCTTTTTCTCCAACTAACGTCATATCTCCCTCAGGCATCAATTCTATGTCCTAAATTGAGACGGGAAGCTATAGTGAAACAGAATCTAGTTCAAGTCACTTTAAGGCTTCAGGAACTCACCTTCTCTAGTGCACATGCCGCTATCACTCTTTTGTATCTCGATTCAATCATGTTTTGTCCGAACAAAATATTTTGTTTTACTGTTCCTGAGAAGATCCAAGGCATTTGTGAWGTATAAGCGATCTTTCCAGCAACTTTGATGTTACCTTTTGAAAGCGGTAGTTCCCCAAGAATCGACATTAATAATGACGTCTGAATTAACAAGAGACAAAAACCAAAACTGTTAGCACACTTTTCACATTGAATTTTTTGGTAAATGTGACGACGGGGACGGGTACTTGAAACAGGAAAATCATAGATAGCGAAGGTCAAGAGGCTAAACAGAAGAAGCCCGACAGGAAAGGAGGTTCATTTTCTCGGTGACTTTTGCGAAAATTGAACAAGTTTGACATAAGGATCGTAAACATCTTCCACATCAGTARTCCCTGATTTCAAGGAAAATCCTCCGATGTGCCAGGCTTTACTAAAGTTTGAAGTATTTGGCCGGTAGGCTGCGATTTTGTTTGCCAATCCTTATCCTTAGCACAATACATTGGACTGAGTAGTATAATAAGGTCATATCCTACCTTGCCCGAAGCAACAAGACCAACCAGCATCATTAAGTCATCCTGCAACAAAAACAAAACTGAATCAGTAGCACTAACTGAGGTTGCATACAATGTACGCAATTCCATTTACCATTTACTAAGTTAACATTCATGAAATTAATGAGGAACATCCTCGGGGTTTCTGTCACTGTAAGGTAATGTGATGAAAGTGTAACAACTTTTCGAAAGAGAGAAGTATTTCATAGATAATTATATGATAAATGTTTTTCTCACCTTCCTAATTTCAAAGCTTATATTTTCAAGTGTAGGACTTGTAGAATTCTGAACAAGTATAATGAATTACATTAGAGCATAATTGCCTATTACAAAACAAATAAACAATAAGCAAATGTAGTTTATAATATACAAACTAAAAGTAAGAAAACAAACAGGCACTAGCAACAGGTACAGTACAACAACCTTAGACCTAGTATATGTCTACCGATAAAATGGATTTGCCTCTCCCCCATCGAATTTCCATATGTAATTCAAGAAATGTMAWATCCATAGAAACATTCACAAATTTACCAWTTCTTTTGTAATTGGCTTTTTAAAGTACGATAAAAAGGAAAACAACAACAACAAAGAGAGGTTTGCTCGGCATGTATATGCAATCAATTTACGACAGCTCTTGACCAGACGTACATCAAAATTGCCATTACTAAATAAATAGATATTGCATTCACCTTGTTCCAAGAAGCTGTAATGTTGTTCACCAACACACCTTTCTCGCTCATCTTTCCAGGGTTACTCCTTGTGATACCTTTATACCGCAATTCATCAAGCTCCAAGAACTCCTRGGGGTAAACGAGGTTCACATTGATATAATTTTGAAAGCCAATAAGAGAAGGCGCAACTATTTACAAAGAAGATACACTACGTAATGTGGGAATAGGCTCAAAAAATTTAAAAGCAAATTCGTAGTTGACAATATTAATATGGAGGCTTTTATTTGGTCTTTGACTAACTTCAAGATAACTGAATAATAGGTACACCAAGGTACACAAAGCTGATAAAGTCTACTACACTAGAGGCCGGAACAATTATCTACTGTTGCCAAAGGCCTCTCTTGTACCTCATCATGTAAATATGATGTGTCCAAAATTCTGTAAATTTGATGTAAATGATTTCCATTAAATTTACAGAATTTTGGACACTTACATCATATTTACATCAAATTTACAACCTTTAAAACGCGCGATTTTTTCCAGTGTACCTGAATTCTCTTTATCGCYACCAACGAGATACTGAGCTTTTTTATTCCCAGAGGAAAATGTTTTCCCATYGTGATCACCAGCCTGTTCAGTAATGCCAAAGARCTAAACACGACAGCAGCATTAAGAGTGTTCCCTAGCATAACATATGTCGTAAACATTAAAAAGCTCATCAGGCCATGTGAAGCAAACTCTATTCCTCTGTCTGCACCCTTAATGAAAGCGGACTTCAAGAGCTTTGACACCTCCTTCCTGCAGTAAGGCAAAAATAGCACAATCAGGAAGTGTTACTAGAGTACAAACATTGAAAGTGTGCAACACATTAAAATTACCAACTCTTCTCATCCCCGTTTTAGATAGGTATACGTGCCACCAGCGGTCTAAAACCCTGACCCTGTTTAAGACACTAGAAAGTGAAAATCCATAGCCAGTTGAAGACAAATCGGAAAAATAAGGAATCGTTATCTACGCCGCAACCATCAAAACTGCAATCATACTGACAACCATCAAAGACGATAAGACGTTTTTGACAACACGTTAATCCTGGTACAGTGAAACGGTATTTCTACTATTTCTACGGTATTTCTTATGAAAATATTACCCTGTCCAAGACACACAAAAAATATGTATAGTAGTTTTTTCATTTAACATTCGAATATTGTCACAAACGAGGACTTTAAACATGGACTCATCGTTTTGAGAAACATTTTGAAATGCTCAAATATCTCGAAAATTTAGGTTAAGATTTCATTCAAACTTCGTCAGTATGTCAATTATAGTGTTATTTTAGAAATGACTCTGAAAATTTTATTACAATCTCTGCGATGAGTTTCGAGAAAATTAACTTTAAAGAAAAATGAATGTATT